GGTTCTTGTAGTGTGCACTCAAATCGAGTATACACTCTCTTCCAGCCGTTCGCGCCTGGTAGTCCAGAGTCACTTGCACGCGGGCTTTGCTATTGAATCTGAGGAGTTCTGCCTTCCTGGCAGGACTCGCAAGAGGTCGTGTGGTATTCAACCTTACGTACGTGTCTTTCGCCGTCACCTCTCACACCCACTTTTTCCACACAGTCGTACTCTGACAGGCACCATGCCCTTGCAAGTCCCGTAGACAAAGACGAACATTCCTCACAAAAACGCCCCTTTCAGCTCGTTTCCAGACAAGACAGAGATTCCTCACGCGGCTCCCTTTTCCGCTCGTTTCCGTCAAAGGACAATTTCACATGTAAGATGACTTAGATCGAGCGCCTTTAGAACAATGACAAGCGCCGCGCATCAGAGGCAGCAATCAATGCACTCGAAGCGGTCATGACAGGAGCGAAGAGCAGTCTCAAACCGAAAATGTGCGCCCATAGAGGGTTGACTTGGGCTCAAATTTGTGCTATTGCGGTTGCCGTACCAATACAATTAAAAGAGGGACTCGTCCCGTAGGGTATGATGCAGGGGAGCCTGCCCTTGTAGCGTGTCAATGATTTGAGAGCGAGATGCATGCTTTGGCACCTTGACGACACTTTGCCTCTGTCGACTTTGCTCAGGCGCCGTGCACTGTGTCTGAGGCCCCAGCCTGACCAAGCTTGCATGTGCCCCAGCCGAACTCCAACTCAGCATCTGCTGTTCTTCGCCGACGTGTCCCCGTCGCGCGATCACGTCCGTTCGACTTTTGTGCAAGAGGGTCCTGGGCGTGAGCGGAGGATGGGAACGGAGGAGAAGGCGGCACGTTGTGCCTATCAGGTATCGCAACGGCTGCATCTTCGCGAGGCGCACGACCACCGCTGCTGGAACATCGACGAGAGCGTGCTTCCGCCTTGCGATGCTCAGCTCGTCTAGGATGCTCGCCGTGTCTCTTGCCAATGATATGTGCGTCGTCTCTAGCCTGAGCGCTAGGCAAAGGTTTCGAAATCTGAACGGGTGTCTGCTTTTTGTGCGCAGGCGATGGTAGCGCATTTGGTCGCGATGGAATGTCGCGCAACGCATGAGCGTCTTGTAGAGGAGGTGGCAGCGCAAAAGGTGGAGGCGAAGCTAACGGGTGGCTAGCATGATGGTGGTCTGCATCATTCGGTGTCGGCTTTGCCTCGCTCGCGTCATGGCGGTGTGCGAAGCCGGGTGGAGACGTCGACACCATCGCGGGACTGCCAGAACCCGTGGCAGCGTCCTTGACGTGTCGGATTGTCTCGAGCAATTTCTCTCCAAAGGAGCGATGACGAAGGTGTGGTTGGTGTACGTCGGTCATGGTGCGCTGCAGCGCGCGAACAGACGTAGTCGCGCCGCTGCCCACTGCTTGTGTCGCTGCACCTTGGGGAGCGCCCTCAAGCGCGAGATGCAGCGATGCAGTCGCTCGTCTTTGTGGAGAGCAAGGCGCTGACATGACCTCTGGCGGCGCAAAATCGCAGGAAGGCGGGGAAGAGGCTGCGAAAGCTGCGTGCGTCGGCGAGTCGACGTCGCTGGCCTCGCCTCTGAGGGCAGCTGACGAATGTGCTGCATCATGCGACAAAGCAAAAAGGGAAGTAGAAGAAAACTTCGAGCTCGTCTGATCTCGGTGTCCCGCAAAAGGGCTTGTAGCGCGCGAAGCAAGCGCATATAATTTAGAAGCGGCGCTGGACGGCAACATCCTGGACCTGCGCTGCAGGTCTCCATCCGAGACGGATCCCTCTGCGTCGAGACAATGGCGAAGCCGATGCCAGGCGTTACCCAAGCGCTCTCCATTGACACTCAGCGTTGATACTTCTGGTCGGAACGTCAGCAGAGGTAATGGAGCGTCCGCGTCCAGGCTGCGAAGCGCGAGCTCCGGGCTTTGCGACAATGGAGACGCCACTACCACTCCACGTCGAGTCATGGTACCGGTGCTCAAGCTTCGCTGTTGAGATCCAACCGGACGTTTGTGTGATGAAGAGGCACGACCGCCACTGAGAAGCGAGCGATGCGGAGGCAACTGACCAAAGTGAAGCACGTGAGGTGAAGCGACGCGTGGCGCGTGCGGTGGCAAGTGCTCTTCTTCGACGCTTGATGTCCTCTCCACAACAGCGTTTGGAACTGCCTGGAAAGGAGCGAACTCTTCAAGAGACTGGATAGCAGCTTGACCAAACGATGTAGAAGTGATCGTCGGTGACGGACCTGCCGAGGAGACCGAGCGCCGCGGGCTGACAGGATAAGACCTTGGTATTCTTGCCAAATGTAGCGCGGGTGTGTCTGCAGCTGAGATCGCATTGGCCGGTGAGTCTGGCCTGCTCATTCCAGAGTGGTTCGAGGACGTATAGCCGGTCTGCTGCGAGCGGTTGGTGTTTGAATGCAGAGAGTTGGTCTCCACATCAAATTCGGGGCTCAGAGGGAGAGAGTCCTCCAATTGTGCTGCGTCATATGATCGATGAGCAAGCTGCTGGCAGTCTCTGCGGTCAGTGACAGTCGCAAACCCCTCTCTTACGCTGACCCTCTCGTCGTCTTGTCTGTCTTCCCCATGATCGTCGGAGGATAGATCGTCGGAATCCTCGTCATATTCGGCCTCCTCCTCCTCCTCCTCCTCGGACGCCGATGAATTCAGCTCTTCCTCAGACGCCGCCAGCTCCGCACCCGAGCTTATCGAGTCATCGTGACTCTGACGGCGACCAGGCGCGGGGGAACCAGCACCCATCGCGTGGGGTCCTCTCAGAGCCTTTGCCTTTTCCTGGTAGGGCAGTGCAGAAGGTGCAGGACTTCCCCGAGATACTCTGCGCTTTGTGAGCGAAGCCAGCGAGGACAGCTTCTCTTCTGTCGTCGATACTCGAGGGCGGCCACGCGTGTGTGCTTCCTGCTCGGCTCGGGTGGGTCGCTGACGAAGAGGCTCCAACACCCGGACGGTAGGCTTGCGCTGATTTGCAGCGGCGTGGATGACGTCCACGTAGGGTGCTTCGTCCTCGTCCGTGGAGGGGCTTCTGACTTTGCTAATTTTGGAGGGGCGTGATCGCGGGCTGAGTGGTAGGCCGCCTCTGCTACCAGCCGCCGAGATGGAAGGCGCAAGCGCAAGTGGATGAGGACGATGCCGCTCAGCCACTTCGCGAGGAGAAGAAGCAAACTTGAGGGTGCGCTGACGCGCAGCGGCTGCTGCCACCGCTCCGCAGAAGCGCAGCGACGGAGACGTGCTGTGCGGTCCATGCGGTCCAGTTTGTGTGTGCTCCGAACGGATGCCACGGGCGTCCGCAATCGCAGAGCCAGCGGGAGCGCGCAACGAATGCGCGGGCAAAAGCTCGTTGTCCGAAGTATCACAGGGATGCCGCGGCTTCTGGACTGCATGTATGCGGTCGATGGTCTCTGCTTCGGCGCCGCTGGCCGGCTGACTCGTGAGCCCCGTAGAGTAGTGTGAACGAGCAGTAGCATGACCTTCTTCTACGCTACTACCCAAGTCTTCGCTGTCACCCGTGTCGGAGCCTGTCAACGCCGAAGCCTGCACCCTAGCATCATCACTGCTGGTTTCAGCTTCGATTGCAGCGGGAGGAGATATCAGCTTGTTGACGCTGGCGCGCCTGGAAGTGACGGCTGCCGCTCGCGGCGCTGCACGCTCTTTGGCCTCGGATGGGGCATCACAAAAGACGAGTGAGCGCTGTCGACCTTCAATCTGGACTGCCGGCTGCATCGCAAGCAGAGGCGTTCCTGCTGTTGTCGAGACGTCAGCCTGCTTACAACCGTTACTAGGTCCGGAAGAGTCCTCAGAGCGAGCTGGTATTGCAGACAATACACGCTGATTGTTGACCATCGAGCCATCCTGTATACCAGGCGACAACAGCGACGTCTGGCGGATGCCATCACGCGCCGGTTTCACAGGTTCCACAAAGTGGGCGCGTGAAGGGTGTCTGTGGTATCAACACGTTGAAGGTCAGCGCATCATGGCTCACGCTCCCGCTCCCTTCCAGACGGGGTAAGAACGCTTACCGTGAGTGAGCGGCCGCATCTTGCGTGCCCGCAGTGAACGCAGGGCTGGACTGTTTCTGTGGCTCGTCGCCAAAGTGCTCGGCACGCTTCAGAATCCCGCACCCACTTGCCCGCCTCTGCTGCGTTGACGGAGGACCCGCAAGAAGAGCTGCTGACAGTAGGCTCTTCTTGACAGGGGACGCAACAGCCGCATGTTTCTCTTCGTTCTCTTCAACAGAGCGGAACGATGATCTGCGCACTTCCTCGCCCAAATGCCGCTTAGGGGCGTCCTCTGTAGGCGTGGTTGGCAGCTGCGAGATCGGCGACGATGGAGACTTTAGACCAGCCAAAGGCCGTTTTTGGAAAGTGAGCGGCTCCATGCTGAGGTCCTAATGACTAGTGGATGCTTTGCAGACGTCCATGGAGTCGCTCGGTTCGCGATTCTATTATGCCTGTGGCAGCCAGGCAGCAACGCCGCGAATCTTGCGCACAGCTACAGGTTCGCTGGCCATTCTCCTCGCGTGACTCCAGACTGATTGTGTGGTGGTCAGGATAAGGCTCTAGGCAGGATGCTTGTTGGCTCTCATGTGCTGTGGTACAAGGGGTGAGGGTTCGAAGAGCGCACATTGTGATTGCATCCTAGACGCCCAAAGGCCGCGTTGCCGCCCTTCACACGACGCCGGAGCAGCCAATCGCCAGCCAGCAGCAGCCTCGCGAGGCTCACCACCTCTATCTGCAGGTAAAATTGTGTCGCGTTGAGCGCACGCTCTCAAGTCTCAACCTCTGGACAGATTTTACAGGCACCGAAGCGGCATACATGCAGGTCAGACGTACGCAGTGGCAGCAGCCACTCAGCAACGGCGAGCGGCCAATCTCACAGTCACGAGTCACAGCCAACAGCAGCCCTCACGATCCCCAACACACCAATCAATGAATCCAGCAGCAGCATGCAGCGTGGCCCGGTGCGGCCGGCGCGCACCGAGCAATTGGCGAG